AAAAGATTAAAACACACGATGACCATGTAATTACATACACACCAGTTCTTCTTCTGAGGAAAAGTCGTCCTCTTTCCTGCAGATAATTGGTATCTTCAGTCTGTTTTAACAAAGGCATTAACGCAATACTTCCCAAGCATAGATTTGCGCTAATTTTTGATAGGTTGCGAATGCAATTCCGTGACTTCTATCACGTGAGTCTTCCCGACTTTCCTATTGGGATCATACCTAGTTTGACGTCATAATGATGTGGATGATGTGGTGTCACACACATAACACCATGCCTGATCTAATCCTGGGAATTCGGTCCTTGACAGGCTTTATAAAGCAGAAAAAGTGCCGAAATTTAGGAGCTACTTACGCATATTTTAACGATTAAATTCAACTAAAATGGGAACTGGCAATCAAAAAGTATTATAGAAGAAAAAGTGGAATTGGACTCACTAAATTCAGAAAAAAACGAGTTTGAACGACCAACATTTGATTTATATATTTATATATTTGGTTTTTACTTTCGCCACCGAAGGTGACGGAAGTTATGTTTTCACCCCTGTGTGTTTGTCAGCAAGATTTTTCGAATTTGGACGAAAGTTGGTATACACTTGGACTATGACTCACCTTAAAAGTTATTGGTTTTTGGAGGGTCAAGGTCATAGCAAGGTCACGTAAATTGAAAAAAATTCCTATCTGTTAATATGAGAACCGATTTTCACACCACTTTTGCTCTATAACTCAGTCAAAAATGATCGAATTTTGATTAAACTTGGTGGACATATGTAGAATATTATTCCTCATTGTCCCACCAAAAACAACCCGTGTCTGTCGGTAACGACGGATATACGGACACATTTTCGTTTTTTTTTTGAGAGCCGATACGTGGCGGAGGTATGCGTTCTACTGAGTGTCCCTCTTGTTGTGTGTTCTGTTTTTCGTGTTTATGTTATGTGAAATTATTTTTATATGTTCTGTTTACTTTATATTTAATATTTTTGCTGTCATATCTATTCATAGTTTATTCGTGTATTTATGGCTTTGAGCAATATTGTTGCATGTTGCCATGAATTTGAGCGATATTGTTGCATGTTGCTATGAATTCGGGCAGCATTGTTGTATGTTGCCATGACTTTGAGCGATATTGTTGCATGTTGCTATGAATTTGGGCAACATTGTTGCATGCTGCTATGACTTTGAGAAATATCACTTGATTTCGCTTTGACTTCGAGCAATATTGTTGCATGTTCCTGAGATTTTGAGCAATATTGTTGCATGTTTCTAAGATTTTGAGCAACACTGTTGTATTTTTCTATGATTTTGAGCAATTTTACTTTGAATTATTACCTTCACGAAAACGTATTTTCATAAATGTTTTATATATCGCTGTGGTTCTTACTTTGACCTATTGTCATCCTCACCAAACCTTATCAAATAATTTTAAGCAGCCATGCTTCAGGCCAACAGTAAAACACCAAATATGATTTTTGCTACTTACACGCTTTAAAACGTAATAAAACTTGTTGGAAGTTTAAAATGTTAAGAATGCAAGTAAGCAGATACCTATTTTATTGTGAATTATTTATTGTAAACAAAACTAAACTTGATTGTACCTACCTTACTTCAGGAGGAAGTCCCCTGTTGAAGACTTGGTCACTTGTCTTCGTCATATCGTCAATGTACCAGAACGTCTTCCTTTGTTTGATGACATCCGGTAAGTAATAAATACTGATAATTTGTTGGGTTATTTACCCTGCATCGGTAAATTTGTTCATATAACGGAGTAACGTAATAAATACTGATAATTTGTTGGGTTATTTACCCTGCATCGGTAAATTTGTTCATATAACGGAGTAACGTAATAAATACTGATAATTTGTTGGGTTATTTACCCTGCATCGGTAAATTTGTTCATATAACGGAGTAATGTAATAAATACTGATAATTTGTTGGGTTATTTACCCTGCATCGGTAAATTTGTTCATATAACGGAGTAATGTAATAAATACTGATAATTTGTTGGGTTATTTACCCTGCATCGGTAAATTTGTTCATATAACGGAGTAATGTAATAAATACTGATAATTTGTTGGGTTATTTACCCTGCATCGGTAAATTTGTTCATATAACGGAGTAATGTAATAAATACTGATAATTTGTTGGGTTATTTACCCTGCATCGGTA